ATAAATTGTTAGATGGTTGGAAATCAAAACAATGAATGTGTCGGGACTGCATTCAACCACATCCAGCTGAAAAATGATAGGTACTGTTAGATTTGGGGAAAGGGGGATTCTGGAAAGGACCAGTCAGTCTGACCCACTTCCCGATAAAACAACAAGTAATTTACATGAACATTTTGCACAATGAATGCTAATATTTGGGGAAAATGTGCGCCTGCAATTCCGACTTTGTCCCACAGTAAGGACACCTCATTAAATCTCAGCCGAACGTCAAAACTTTTTCCGCGGTCAGATGTCATGCCTCCCTCGGGATGGCCCACTCTTTTTTTTCTTGAAGAACGTCGCAACTCGGACCCGTGATCATAAAATCTAACAGCTACGGTGCATGAGAAACGCAGGGAGTTATCTGGTGGGTGAATATAAGTTTGGATGGACAAACATCAATCAAATGCCTTTACACGTCAATAACTGTTAAAGTAATTAAGAAACAATTGTAATCGGTTAAATCTTAGTAATGCACTGCAATCATATGTTACGATGCATGCTTTCAGAATTCATTCTGGTATTTGGAGCACCTCAAAGTAAGGTTGGATAACCTATGGTTTAAGTGACTCCTCCCTGTTACATTCCTATAATTAATTGATTTAATTTGTTCTTATCTGGTTCCAGGAAAATACTGACAGCTTTATGCTTCCGGAAGCATGATACTGCATGTTTTCTTGCTAGATATCATCCATCGCAGCGCATTGGAATTCACACGTGTCCCGAAGCTGCCGGTCCTGTTCAGGCAGTAGCTAGACGTAATTTCCGTCTTTTGTCAAAAATTTCCGTGATTCAGCGGTTTGCGGTGTAAATTTAAAAAGCATTGGTGAAATGTGCTCCGATGTCAGAACGTCGGGAGTAAAAAAACTTCAGCTCAGAGGGACATAAGCGCTGAAAAGTGTTACCCTCCTGCAACGACCATTTCCATACAGAGACACAAAGAGAACTGGAGGTCAGTGTGAATGGTCAGCCTGTTTCCTATAGAAGACATTAAAAAGTCACTGGGTCTGACACTTAAGAGCGATATCTTGCATCAGCCACATATAGTACCTAAAGCATAATTTCAGTGTCTGTTACCTGTATCTTTTAGGCATTGAATAGGTTTCATAACCAGAAAAACTTGCCAGAATTTTCTTTCTTTATTCTGAAGCACTGATTACCACTGCAGCACAGGTTTCTATTTTATTTACCCAGAACGGAACCAGCGTGATCCAAAGAGAAATGGTGACCACGGAAACAGGACGGGTACTTAGTACAGTAGGTCCTGTTGTTGCACCCGTGTTTCCACTGTGACCTTTTCTCCAGGTCTGTCGTGTCACTTTCCATCCACATGAGCAATTTCTGATTTCATCCGGATCAATTTTTGTTCCTTCCCGGTCGCCCCGGGTTTCTGAAGTACGAGACGTTTTGCCGTTGTTGACTAGTCTCAAATATGCGGCCTTCATTAAATTATACGGCAGTGTGAATAGGCACCAGGATATTTTTCTACATGCTTTGGTCCTAGATGTTGGTATTAATGCAGGGCCTGACTCTTACCGCTCTAGAAAGCCTCATGTATGTGTGTGTCTGTTCGAGCCTGACACAGTCTACAGCTATGCTCTGTATAATGATCTGTGGCTCAGAGGGTTGAAATGCTGCCTCTGTGATCATATGGTTGCTAGTTCAAATCCCTATATTAACAAAATGATTTCACCACTAGGCCCTTAAGTACGTCTGACATTTCTCACAAAATAAAACGTACTTTGCATTGGATAACTTCATCTGCTAAATAAATAAAGTCCAAGTATGTCTTTATTCTGGATATTAATGAAACATTTCAAAAATGAAAAAAAAGTTACAAGTAAAACTCTGGCTAAAGAAAGGGTTTGTTATATGGAAATTCATGCTTTCTTCATACCTATACTTCCTCCCTTTATGCAGAACCTCATAGTAATTCGCTGCTATCAGCGTTGTTTGAAATCCATGATATGGAGAAACGCTTCAGATCACCCTGAACATTAAGCTCTTTGATGGGTCTCACAGCCCAGCTGTCTGCTACATTCCTCATAGCGGCGGTCTTCGTCGAGTGACGCCCGACACGTTCCATTCCTCGGTTCTCTGGTCCAAAGTGGAGTTGAGATTTAAGCGCAGCACCTTTGGGTTATTAAGAGGCTTAAACGTTGCTGCAGCTGTCCGTGCAAAGTGTGACGCATCGGGGTGTTTTTGAGAGAAATGTTTTGTCTCCTAAAAACTGGCAATCGATTTTCGTTTGGTGAAACGAATTGAGCTGCCGTAATGAGGGATTTCTGAGCATCTACGACAAATCCTGCTGACTTTATGAATTCCACAACGGTGTGCTGTGTTGAAGAGGTCAAGAGCACCGCTTGCACAACAGGTCAGGAAAATTAATCAGGACACCGATATGATCAGACAATTTTACCAGAGTAGGAGGCTTCTTAGCAGGTCAAACAAAGCAGCGGCTTTGCCCATGACACCAGGGTTAATGCCCTGTCCCCGTCGTAGCAGGATATCTTTTACGGGATATTGCTTTCCTTTTAAAACCTCATCCCAAAAGCCATCTACACAACTATGGACTTGTCACTACCCAAGATTGCAAGGGCACCATATTAATGTGTAATGGAGCAGGGAAAAGCAGCCCAGAAAAGAAAAGATAAGTGATCACTTGTCTGAAAACTATCGGAGAGAACATCAAATTGTTTTGTATGTTTTTACTCACAGCGCTGGATTAGAGGAAGAGTTGTTGCAGATGTGAAGGGGTACGGAAGTCATGTGACCACCCCAAGCATCATGCTTACTTCCTGTTCCAAGGTTTTCATTTAGACGATAACCGTAACAAACGTTAAATAGGTTTTCCCGAGTAATGTATCATAGTTATGCGTATTATTATTTGGGAATAATTCATTTAAAGGTCTATATTTATTCATAACACCATGTATTTCAGTGTAAGACATGGACTTCTTTAGAACATTATTTTAAATCAAATTTAAAAATTTAACTGTAATTTATGGTATTAAAATGTGTATCTATTTAAAAACATTGAAAAAAAAGAGAATGACTTAGGTACTGTAGCTGCTACAAAAAAAGTGCTAGTACGTTTTTATGGCTGTGTTTTAGTAAAAAGATCACAAATAAACAGACTGATCCTTTGACACAGGTTGGGGGGGGTGAAACTACTGTAGGATAGAAATCTGATACCCCCCTTCTTGGGTATTAAAGGACATTTCACACACTTACAGAGCTGATGAGGGGGACAGGCAGTACGTCGATCTCTAGACCGCCATAAATTCTGCATTATACAGTGCTCCACAGTATCTGTGGTGCAATAAAAGCCCCCCCCAACGCTGTATCGCCCTGCCGTATCGCCATATCAGACGAAATCAATTTCAGTATGTCTTCATTTCTGGGGGAAAACTTGTTTGTGGGTATTTTGATTCATGAACCTTGTTTGCTGTTTTTTTTTTATCTTGGAACAGTCAGTGCTTCCAAGATGAAAGGGAAGGAGGTGCTGAGAATCAGTCATGGGTTCGGGTCACCGATTTCCCGTCCGGCCCGGCCCGGCCCGGCCGTCAGTCTCTCAGCATCTTTCCCCAAATGCCCTCCGGATTAGCGAGCCCGGGGGGGGTCCCCCCACGCCATCCTGTCGAGCGCAGTGAAGATTTAGCGTGCTGTTTACGAAGCCCCATGTCCTCGTTAATGCTCCCCACAGTGGAGGCCGTAAACCTGCTTATGGATATCCGCTTTTATATAAAAAACGCTGTCTCCCTTTGAAAGATGCAGTAGATCACTGACACGGCGGCTTATTGGCTGCTGGGCGAATTTACGTCTTTCTCTGTCCGTGGGTACATGCGAGTACACAGACAGGCAAACTCGGGTATTATGGGGTGAAAGCCAAACTGTTGTAGCCAGGGGGCACTCAAAAGTCACTTCAAGCCCCCCCACTTGTGTGACTACTTGTAGCCAACAGGGGGCCCCCTATCCTCAGGGGCCCCACTGTTTACAGCACCTAGACAACTAGAAACAAGTGATTTGAGGATGATACAATCCCCACCTACACGAACCTTCCAAGATGGCCAACCCCACCCAGTATCACATGAAGGCTGCTGGTTTTGTAAGCTTTCTGATATGAATCGACTGGGGGGGGAGGGGGGGTTCCAGCAGCATGATAAATGGTACCGCTGTATTTCTGCCTATTGCTACTGCTGATCTTTGTCAAGAGTCCCTGGCACATAATTATCTCTGCTGGTGAGAATTTCCAGTTTAAGTGACTTTACTCTGTGTTGATGACTTCGCACCAAAGATTTGACATATTTAATAATAATTTGGTCGTCTGTTTGCGGCGTGATCTGATCGCCATCATTTTTCCACTGCCACTTCTGGTGTGGGTCGCCGCGTGCTGTGATAGATGTTCTCTAGGTTTGAGCAAATGCCGTATATTTTCTGGTTCATTTTTGAGGGGGGGGGGCACACCAAAAGTAAGCTAACCAAAGACCATATGCGGCGGGAATAATTTTGCGGAGAGATTATTCCATGAACTTCCCCAGTGAACATCCAATATGGAAAAATGGCTACAAATGTAATTCTTGACATCTGTAAGAAATTGGGTTGGTGTTGGCGATTTTTATTCAGAAGTAGCTTGCTCTGCATATAAATGGTACATTATGGCACCCGCGTTCCTTGAGCTGTGGCCGAATGTTCATACATTTCACGGAAAAGCACATTTGATTTGCATACTCATGCTGATGCAGTAGACACAGAAACATGTCTGCCTCTAACGGGACGACGAGCTTGGTGCGACGGGGCTGCGTGTCCTGTGTGTTTTTTTCTTTTTTCCATGGTGATTGATCATGGTCCCCCTGTCCACAGATGCCTCCGTTAATGGAACCCAGCTGTCCCTAATGAGAGAGATTACCCCACTGAGGGTAAGTTATTTTCTTCCTCTCAACCTACAGCTCTGTTTTGCTGTCCCATAACAGATCTCCCCTCCACAACCTGCAGAAAAGGTTAGTTAAAAATAATCCCTTAATAAACCTTTCCATAGTGACACAACGGGTGATTATCTATTATCTGCATTGCTTAAAGTTTGCAGCAATTTAAAAATTTTTTAAACCGGCATAATGATCACATGAAAAGTACCGAGATAATAATCATTATAATCTTCTGAATATGCTTTAATGGTTAGTAAATAAGAAATTGAACTACTCCACAAAAAGCAAGTCATCTAAAACAGATTTATTCTGTTGCACACATATATGAGGAAAAGCTCCCCGAGAATAGCAGGAAATGTCTTACTTGTCATGCGGATCAGTGCTGTTCAGTGGTCTTAAGCTGTTTAATACATTAATGCCTCAGCTGGTCTAATCTGACCGGTAAGTGTTTCATAGGGACCTCATTAAGAATGGTCTCTAGAAAATTCCAGGCCCCACCTGAAATATCCAGTCCCTGGTTTATCACAGTATGGCTGTGGTGTGGAGCACTGGGGAAGTGTAGGGTGTTATTACCAAAGTGCCCCGTGAATGACTGACACCCCATCCAGGCTGTATTGCAGCCTTGTGCCCCCCCCCCCCACACACACACACACACAACTCTGTGTTTGACAGATCAAATGCTTGGCTTTGTAATTGCAAAACTCCTTATATTTGCTCGAGTTCCCGCCATCTTGTGTGACGACCAGACTCCGATGCTGATTACGGAACCTTCTTGGATCGGCGGGGTGACCCAGCTGTGCGAGTCCAGCAGAATAATAGCGGAGTGACCAAAATGGCTGCAGGGGACACACTCCTGCAGTCTGTGACAACATGATTTAGTCCAGAGTCGATGACAAACAGACTTTCGGATGGCAAATCATAAGAGTATCCAGTGCAGGAATTTCATGCTAATTACTGCTTACATCGTTGTGTTTGTCTGAAAATGACGGGGAAAAGGCGTCAGCACTCGCTCTGGCTGGGGATGCTGAGCGGCTCCTGCGTGATGCTGTGCCAGGGCCGGGTGGGGGCTGGGGGGGGGACGTGGCAGATGATGTGCTGCCATATCTGCAAACGGAGCTGTGGCATGACGCCCAGCGCCCAGGCCAAATGGCAGGCGCTACCCATTGACCTTTTCCAGACAAGCTCTGCGCCGCTGCGAACAACCGACTGCCGAAATTAAATTTGTCACGGTCTGGCAGCACACGTTGGCAGCTCGGGGGACCCCGCAGGTCCACAAGGGCCCGATTCTCTCTTTCTGAATGCTGGAGTTGAGTGGCTTGGGGGTGCAGATCTCGCTGGCAGGACACTCCCAGCCTGAAAGTAACCCACATTGCCTTAGGTCTAGATGTAGCACACACACACAATAATAAAATTATCCCAGGTTGGCCAACAAAGACATTAATAAACATATCTATTTACGTAATTTTCTTGATTATTATTCTTCTGTTTAATTTCTACATTGACGTGCTCCTCTCCCTGAGACAGGTTATGATGTCATAAACCTATAAATATCTTATGACAGTTAACTGAATGGTTTCAGCTTGCATATTCAGATATTTAAACAGTCTAATATAACCTGTCCTTTTAATTTGTTCATTGGATTTCCATGTCAGTTGTGAAGATGAATTTATACATCAGTCCAGTGTTAATATTTGCAAACCTTGAACTGAATTAAATGCATTATTTTATTGCACCAGTAAAAACTTGTATATCTAATGTTAAATTTCATGCTGCTCCTGTGAGTTGCTGAAAAAGCAGCCCCCCCCCCCCCAGCACCTGAAAACGAGGTGCGTTTAATTCGCTCGCCCTACTTAGCAGCGCTCGTAACTGATTACTGTCATCGCAATGGGATGGGGGCACACAGACCCCGGGCAGCATTTCCAGACCGCTCTATCGATTTTGTGTAACAGGGTCTAAAAAGTATTGATTTTGTGTGGCTTGGCTTAAAAAGTTAATAATTTGTAAAGCACGCAAAGAGATGTCGTTATGTGCTGTGGAAACGCACGGGCGTGTGTACCCAGCTTCCCTCAGCTAACTCCGCTAAAAGAAGGACAATCAAGCCAAGGCAAATCAAATGAAGCTTTATTGGTCATGCCAGCCATTTACACATGAAGCGAAATAATGTTCCTCCTGGGCCCAAAAATCATGACAGGACAGACATTACAGTAAATACAGTGTTTTTGGGGAAATTCACAAAAAAACAGAAAGAAATTTACAAAAAAACAGAAAAAGGAAGAGAACTACCTATCATAACGTAACGTAACAACAGAACATCACGTAGTGAAGCATACGCGATGCATAATACATGGTGTAGCACAATGCAATATATAACATAACAACATAACATAACTTAATATAACATTATATAACATACTGTAACAGTCCTAAGGAAACAGCGTATCTGCAGCTGTAATTTGCCCCTTACCCATGGATTTTTGGAATGTACTTTCCTTTCGTCTATCCTTTTTCTTAAGAAGGCTCGCTTTCCCCATCTACAGCTTATTCATAGAGCAGAATGCACCCGCGCACCCCATGTCGGCCCCTACCCGTGCTTAGAGGACCGTCAAGGCCTTTAACAGTGATTCCAAATGTACAGTGCTGCTTCTTGTGCCCGGTTGAGGGACTGAAGAGGTCCAGATGTGTCCTAAAAAAAGGGGGCCGTATGCTTGGGAACAATGCCTATCACGGGGGGGAGGCACTCGGTCAAGTGGCCCACTGCACTCCAGGCTCCAGACGCCACGGGAGTAATTATACATTTCTTCCCGTGAATTTCTTCCTGCAAGTCGCCATGGGTAACGTGGTTGTTAGGCTGTGCGACCTGCCAGTTATTTTCAGAATAACCATTAAAGGTACACTATGTGCTACCTTAAGGTGAGTCTCCGTTAATTTATTTATGGGTTCACCTAAAGGTAGACAGAGCTTCTTCCAAATAATTAACAATGGAGGCAGGCATTTTTTTCCCAACCATTTCTTCAGGATTCCACATGAGTTTTCGAAACAAACCAACTAACTAAAACTTCTTACTTCCTGTTTGACCCCCTTTATCCAATCAGATTTCTCCAAATTCAGACAGGTAACCTTATGCATAGTAATTTTTAAATAAAAAGATAATATAAATAAAAGAAAATTCTACTAAAATCTTAATAGCCTCATTAAATATACTGTCAGGTAAAAATGCAGTCAGGAACAATGTTTGGTTCATCTGATCACTGTGTAGGTGATCGTTGTGTTTGGGCTTGGGCTTGTGGCCGTGTGCCCTGTCTGAATGTTCATCGTGCTTTTTATCAGTGTTTCCCCATTTCCCCTGACACTCATGTTGCATGTGACCAGAAATCCACAGCAGATCAAACAGGTCTTCAAATCGATCAGCTTAGAAACAACTTGGAAAACTGGAGCCCAAAATGGGGCCAGAATTGTCACCTGTTGCCTTTTAAATGTTTAGTACATTTTGCCTGAAAAAGTAGGAATGCACTATGGGAAAATTGCACAACATTTCTCATTGTCTGCAAGAACACATCAATTTATTGCATTCAGTGAAATCAAGAACTAGCTTGTGATGTCTGATAGTCTATGAAGAAAAGGGTGAAAGTATTTTTTTCTGTTTATACAACAAATATCTAGATAAGAGGTAATATAGTGGCCTTATTTTTCCATTATATCTAAATGACGAGCATTCAGTAGAAGCTACTATTTCTGCCATATTGTTTAAACTCTGTAAACTTCAGCATTACCAGTATCATAATCAAGATTTTACCCGAGTAAGTTTCAAGAGCTTTCATAACGGAGAATCTGGTTTGATTTTTAGTCAGACTTCATGTTCTCTTGTCAATTTTTCTAACAACCACATACGTTTTTTTTTGTGGGGGGGGGTCTAGGGAAGAGCCCATAGGCTGTTTACCTCTCCGCTTGTTGCCAAACACGGCCTGTCAGGTACTGTATAACAAAGCCAGAAGTCCCTTTGGGACATAGCCAAGAGTTTGAGGAGCACACCGATCCTCCGGAGACCACGAGAGTGCAGGTCCTAATTATCTGCTGCTGCAGTGGGACTCTTCGGCAACAGTTACTGGTGGGACTATAGGACCCCGTCGCTCCACGTCTTGTAGCCTCGCAAGCCAATCATACGCAAGATAAATATCAGCTGACTGTGATATGACCCTGGTACTCATACTTAAATTGAAAAATCTGCCTCTATAGAATTAGCAGCTGTCTTGATTTTATCTGCATGCCTTCAGCCTTGTCTGCAAAATTGAATATATTAATACTGTATTTGAGTACTTTTATCATATTGGCTTTAACGCCAAGCAATGTATTCATACGTAAATAAGTGATGCTGCTTCTGAAGTGCTGAGATAATGCTGTATGTGTACATGGCCCTGGATGCTTTTCTTAATTATCTCCTGAATGAACATTTGTGTGTGTGTGTTTTTTTACAATAGATCCATGATGATAGATGAAATCATTCAGCAGAACACAGCTCGAATGATTCAAACACGACCCCAAAATCTGCTTTTTTTGAGTTGTGAATATTATACCTTCTAATCCTTTTCACCGTACTTTCAAGAAGCACTAATACAAATTGAAAGGGATGTTTAGTATTAGTACTAGTATTAGTATTAGTATACTAATATTAAAGTAACATACATACTGTCTGCAGTGTACATGTACTGATTGTATAGAATAACGGTGTATTTGACATACACTGCATGCTGGTTTTTATACTTTGTGTTCATAGACAATAAATTTTAGTCAAACACATCCCTTGAGTTTAAAACTAGGCTTGAGACCAGCACATGGGTACATTCTAATATCAATTTTTCTAGCACTAATTAGGCAGGTAACATCATGGAGCGGGTGAAACTTAACTTAAAACTTTGTGGTTCATAAAAAGACTGCGTCTGTTTTATCTGTGCAGGATGACTGTAAATGATGATGCGGAAAAGTCTTGGAGCGCCGCTAAGGCCGTTATTATGTTTTTGGGTCGCCCCATTTTGGACTCCCGCAGATGCCACCATCATAAACAACAATGTACACGGCAG